TTTCTACAAGGTGGACCGACGATCTTGTGAAGGTCGCGGGAAACCGTTGGATGCGAGTGGCGCAGGATCGATAGGTTTGGAAATCCTTGGAGGAGGCCTATGCTCAGCAGTGGGCGTCGTGCGGCTGACATGATGATGATGATACAAAAAAAACATTAAATCTTACAAAATAACAATTTATATTCTGTTGGTACGCTACACGTGCTTCAGGTGCACTGCCATTGGACTTGAAGGCGTCTGCAGTCGTTAGTACCCACCAAAACGCAATACGCCCACATCGTGGGTCTTGACCCATTTTCCCTATGCCTTCCATAGTCCTCGATACCAGACGTCTGTCAATAGCATTTTTGGATCGGGCTAGGCGAAATAAATTAAAAATTTTCATCACACACATAACTAAGCGAGGCAGTTAGCCAAGCCGCTGGGTGGGTACTAGGTGGGCAACCACTGACGGCGGTGGCTCTGGACTTAGTTTAAACTTTTAGAACTTTAAGACAGAAAAGGAGGTTGGGCCATGACTATATCCGCCCTTGCTATTGGCACTTAATTTGTTCGAGTGATTACTCAAAATATGACACCCTCGATTTTCATACATTTTGAAACACATACGTCTCGACTAGCTACTTACAACAACTACTTACCTGCACCACTATTTCTTCTTTCATTTGACATTTAAATAGGTATGATTGCATAACTATAATCTGAGGATTGTCTGCAAAGTACGCCTGAAGTGATACAACGATGAAGAGGAATTATGAACATTTTCTTTAAAAAAACTTACAAAGCATGACGGTGAAAGTTTGTATGGGAACCCAAATTTATACGTAATTTAAATTAAAGACGACGCTAATACGTTATTTTGACTAATTACTAAAATCGACTACTAGATTTCCTACAAAAATCTAAATATTAATCCCGCGTAACCATTTACAATCAGCGGGGATAAAATTCATATTATATTTATTACCTGACTTCAGCACTTCTATAATATATATTTCATCGGCAGTCATCTGTATGCGACAGCTTGAATAGGGCTCAATATTGGCGAAGTTTGTATGCCTGACATGTATGCTCATTTTCCCTCGTTACTTCACATTTTTAGGGTACCATACCCAGTGGTTTATCATAATAATTATTAATAATTCTTAGAAACAAGATAGAATTCTTAATAATTATTATTAAGAATTCTTTGTATCAGACAAATAATTCGTCTTCATTCATTCATCCTCCATTTATAAATCAGTTCAATTGTCGTTCAACGAGCTACTTAACATAAACTGTTCGAAATGTAATAAAATATCTTCCTTCTAATTAATATTAAATCCTACTTGTAACATTATGAAAGGTGACGTCAGGGGTCATTGAGAAAGAGGAAATATTTCTATCCCCCCAATAGGTAAATGATGACATTACAAACATACTTAGTCTAAAAGTAAATAAGGTCATATTATCATCATCATCAGCCTATTAATGCCCTCACTGCTGGGGCACAGGCCTTCCCTAGGGATGGAATAGGGAGATTGGGCCATGACCAACCACGCGGGTCCAGTGCGGATTGGCGGGTGCTAACGACTGCAGATGCAGCCGGGACCAACGGCTTAACGTGCCTTCCGAAGCACGGAGTAACTCGAGATGGAAGATTTTTGGTCACCCATCCAATGACCGACCACTGCGAAAGTTGCTTAACTTCAACGATCGCAGCCGAACGCGCTAACCACCTGCGCTATCGGGCTCCTCAAGGTTATATTAAAGAGTAGAATAATTGTATAGAATTGTTAAGGGCACAACGGATTGATAAACGTATTTTTTTAGATATGGATTGATTATTATACTGCATTTGACTGAATGGAAATTAAATTAAATGTGATGAGATAAGATGATTAATGACATGCAACTGAATGAAACAGTTAATTTTGCTAATTGATAGACCTAGATTGAGTTCTATGAGAAATGTTACCTACACACTTTGTCCACTATTTATTACGCGTGGATTTTAGAATAAAATTATAAATATAAGTTCCAGAAAACCTATGTACCTATTGAGCAATAAGTTTAAATACAGTTTTTTTTGTTTCCTCCCAGGCGGGGGAGCAGGTGTGAAATCCTCATGGATACCTTACAGCCGGCTGTAGGGTTATGTCAGACTCTTACTGACTAAAACACTCTCGTGGGGATGCCTATGGCCTTAGGAGCCTTAGGCTTCATCTGATGCGATTAACCCCTGAGAAGGGGATGATGCAGCGCTGCCTTAGTAAATACTACTGCATAGTGCGCTTATAGGACGGATGCACTCTGATGAGCATCCGTATCGGTTTGGGACTGAGCGTCTGAAGGTCTCTCAGGTTGGGGGGGGGGGGGGGGGGGGCTCTCAGGCGCGTTGCAATACCCATTAGGCTCCTCGGAGGCCAGAAGATCCTGGAGGTCGCGCGAGAGTTTATTAGGGGGGTCCGTAAGGACGTTTCTTGGCCTGCGGGGTACGGGTGGGGTGGGGGAGGGGCGTACGCGGACGCCGATAGAATGAGGGGATAAATACAGTTATTGTAGTTTGGTTAATCTTGCTGAAAACAAACCTTTTTCCGAGATATAACATAAAGGCGAAAGGAATAAAGCACTGGGTAATAATAAATATTTAAAATAAAGAAATACCAAAAATATCACTCGCGCCGTTACCTAGGTACCCTTAACGAATTCTGGTGTGGCGCGTGTAAATAGCCCACACCTGGGGTGGATTACACCGAAATGATAAATTATGTGGTTCAATACCAGGAAAAAGGAGCGCCCACTTACCACCAGGACGATGGGTTGCGTGGTCTCCGACGGGCGTAATGTGAGACGGCTGGATCCTGCTTTGCCGGCATCCCAGAAAACGCACGTCACAATTATAGTTTTTTCGATTATCCCGAATATTTTAATAATTTCATAGCGACCGAGAAAAAATAGTATTGACAGGTTTTGAAGGAAGAAAGTAAGTCACTTTTTTACACGAAAGGCACCATAAACAATGTTTGTTCCGGTAACCAGCCAGTGCCCTCAGCCTCGGCGACATCAATCCCACAGATAAGTGGGCGCGAGAAGTTTTCCTGGTATATTGCCACACATAACAGAATAGAAACATAATTTACCAATTAAACTAAAACCATCTTTATGGCGCTCGACCAAATTCTCTACCCTATGGAGCTCCGGAATCTTTCTCATTGACATAAACTCAACAGTAGCAAAAGGTACATAGGGTTATTTTACTGTGGTTTTATTTATTTATTTAAACTTTATTGCCAAACATAAGCAAACGGCGGACTTAATGCCATAGGCATTCTCTACCAGTCAACCAGTATGAGTCTTGGAGACAAATAGTATGGCGATGGCGTCTTTTGTAAGATGAAGGTTACTTACCCCCGTTCCAATTCGAGCGGCATATTCCATAATATATTATAACTAGCAAATCAGTGAACCAAAAAAAAAAATGTATTAAATTAATTGAGAACTTCGGAGATTTTGTGTGGTTTCGTTTGAAATAGAAATCACGTGATTTCTCGAAAACCGGAAGTGCTACGTTACTCACATCCAGTTTGTAGTCTTATCAGACTATTCTCAACTTATAAGTTAAACATTCTCTTTATCTATCTCTTACGGTTTGGCCGCTGAAACAGCACCACGGACGGACGGACGGACGGACTTGTCTAATAGATAAGAGATGCCATCTATGATTGTAACGTACCTCAGGGACGATCCATCGTTTTTGGCAGTCATAGATTCCATTTCACACATTTTGTCATCTATCATCATGGTTATTTATCATAATAATACACTTTTCTTCCTTATATATCATTATTAATTCCTGGAAACGCACAATTTCAAAAATATCACGCACTATTCATCATTTCGTAAATCACTATTCCACAGTGCTGGACACTTACCGGCAACAAAATGTGTGAAATGGAATCTATGACTGCCAAAACCGATGGATCGTCCCTGAGGTACGTTACATGATGTATTATACATGATCATCAACCTATTTATGTCCCCGCTGCTGGGGCACAGGCCTTCCTATGGATGGAATAGGGAGATTGGACCATGACCCACCACACGGGCCAGTGCGGGTTGGTGGGTGCTAACGACTGGAGTTACAGCTGGGACCAACGGCTTAACGTGCCTTCCAAAGCACAGAGGAGCTCGAGCTAGTAAATTTTTGGTCACCCATCCAATGACCGACCACTGCGAAAGTTGCTTAACTTCAACGATCGCAGCCGAACGCGCTAACCACCTGAGTCATCGAGCTCCTCAGAATTTTATTATACATCGTTAAATGCTATATTAATGCTTAATTACTTACTATAATGCTGGAGTTATCAAACTTTGTGAGATTTTATTTTACAAAACTACTCTACAGAATCGGCAGTAGGTACTCGATATAAATATTCATGTTTTGTTCCACCCCCATTAATAGAGGCTCTGTCAATGTCAAATTGAATTTTCCGGCTGAGTTCAATTGATATCCATTTACCTATTTCGGCAGGATTGAGTATCAAAACAAACAAAGTAGCTAAGTTTTTGTATTTCCCTACCTACCACTGTCACTGGGTTGGGCGACTTTTTTTTAATTAAATAATAATGTTGATAAAAGTAAAAATATCAGGAATTTTCCTGAAACTTGATTGATTTTTATCTTTAACATTTTTTTTATTTCAATTTTTTTTTTAAATACTGTTACCCTATGAGCATAATAGGTCAAGTTTCCTAAAACAAATTTTACTAAACGTTTAATGCGTGAACATTCGCGATAACAGCTTTATTTAAACGCAATACGATAGCAGCCAGTACTAAATTAAACCCAAAAAATATAGCACCAAGCTTTTCAGGACGAAAACCATTGATTAGGTCATGCGTTTATCAATTTCCCTGGCAGATAGTGGGTTCACAACATCCCGCCATAATCTGTCCACAAATATTCGGGAACTTACCAGTGCGCGTCGAGTCACCACGCGAAAAGGTTGTGTCACGTATAAAACCTTCATGCTGCCAGTTATCGCGCTTCGGCTTTCGTGGCTGTTTTATCTGTGCAAAATACTTTTTGTTTTTTATTCTTATTTTTGTATTAACGGCTCATACTTTTTGTATAGTTTGTGCAGAGCTGTGTTTTCGTGAAATTATCACAAGCTTGGATGCAGTGTGGTTGGATAAAAGTTCAACAGTGCTTGAGTAAACGTGACTTGGTAGAAGAACTGAGATTTTGCTTGGGTCATTCATTAAGTTGATGGTCCTTCACAAGTTGTACTAGTAATGTGTACTACATTATTCATGCAGCTGTAACATCCGTAGCCACTTTTTCATAGCAAATTATTTGGACTTTCAATAAAAGTTTGGCGTAGCTTAATTTATTCTAAGTATCGCTCGCTCATACTAAATACGTATTCCAAGGTCTTGCATGAAAAGTAAGAGTTCATTTTCCTGTTTATTAACTACTAGCTGACCCGGCGAACTTCGTACCGCTTACAATAATTTGGAGGAAATGAAAGTCATCCGACAGGAACACAGCTTTTAGTATATTTAGCAATTGTTTGGAAAAATCTTCTGTAGATTGATTTACTGCGATCCGAAAATTCATTACCGAAATGGCGTTACAAATTCGATTAATACAGGCAAGTATTTTTTTTATTGGCTACTTAATCTTGGAATATCTGTCTCTAAAATCTCTAGCTAGGCTGTAAATTCATTGCGCTCCCGAAACATCTTTATCTATCTATCTAACCAAAAACCTTCAAAAAAAGAGCGTACTCCTTCCTTAAAGGCCGGCATCGCATTTGTGATACTCCTGGCGTTGCAAGTGTCCATGGGCGACGGTCATCACTTACCATAAGGTGAGCCGTCTGCTCGTATGCCCCTATAACATTAAAAAAAACTATTTCATTTTTCATATTACCAATATAGCTGTTATTCCAGAAGAAGGAACTACTACCCTAATGTCAGACTTTACATGAACAGTTTTAATGGCATACTAATATTTCTATAAGTATGTAGTAGAAAAATATAAATATAATATACTTATGTTCTTATGTTATCAATTTTGAGAAAATGTCAAAAAATCTGTATATAAAAACGAATCGTCGAAAAGTATACGTACGCACATCACTTCCGAACGACTGAACCAAATTGGATAATTCTTTTTTTTATTGCGTTCGTTATTGTCCATTCAAGGTTTGTACATACATACTTTACGATGATTCATTTTTATATATATGTACGAAGATTAAGTACCTACTAGCTTTTGCCCGCAACTTCGTCAGCATTTCAATTATATTTTAGAGAATCCCACCGGCACTTACATTTTTCCGGACCGAAAAGTATCTTATGTCTTAGTCCAGACCGTAATAAACTATGCGTGCCAAATCAAATTAAACTCCCGTTTTGTGTGATTGAGTAACAAAAATGCAAATAAACAAACATTTACATTTTCAATACTAGTTACCGCCTGCGCTTCGCAGAAATAAAAAAATCATGACCATAGAAATTGTTTTTTATTTCTTATTTCATTCAAAACATTGAAAAATATATTCAAATCTTTCATTCAATCATTATTGTGTACCTGCTTGAAGAATGTTAAAAAAGAAAGCAATATATATGCGGCATACCATATATAACATACCTGAAAAAACATACATTTTCCTGACATTATTTTCTTGAAATATAAAAAACAAATTTAGAAAAACAAAGGTCCTAAGTTTCCTTTCGTGTTTTTTTTCAAAGTGGTGAAAAATAACAAAGTTGCTTATTTTTTTTATTTTACATCACTTATTACGTTCACTTTAAAAAGCTGTTCTCATTATTTTTATTTATAAGATTTTTAAGTTTCTCGTTTATCTTAAAATTCACAATGTATAGTACCGTCAATCAGTCGGTAGGTATGTTTATCCAGTCTACCTCTAATAAAAATATATCGGACCTTCACGGCGGCAGTGACACGGCACGTAGGTAACGTAGAGACCTTTCGTTCAAATAAATCTTGCGTAAGAGTGAGTAATGCTAAAAGAGTAAAGAGCAAAGTTAAGATCATTTTAGGCACAGCTCTACGCTAACCCTTCTAATCTTGACGTAGTATTAACTTTGTTTCCGCTTGATTTTGCCCTCAATCTTAATTAAAGATTCGGTATCTACTAAGTTAATACTGATTCGTAAAAGATTCTACACTTGTGTGCGAGTTTTTGTTTTAACACTACGTCAAGCAACAAGACATTAAATGCGTTTGTTGTATTTATGTTGTATGTTTTAATTTTTATTGGACCCTAACTTACGGAGTCTTTAATTTTTATTTATTTAGTATTTCAGATTTTACTATCACGTTGTGACGGAGCCGGTATATCGATATTCATAAACTAAAACAATATATATATATATAATAAGAAGAAAAACACGGCATTTGCTGAGACATAGACGACCTCCGTGGCCGAGTGGTTTGTACGCTGGGTTTCATGGCTGTCGCCGACTCGAGAGGTCCCGGGTTCGAATCCCGGTGGGGGCAGATGTTTGTGTGATGAATACGAGCATTTGTACTCCAGTCATGGATGTTTAATATATATATATAAATATACTTATATATGTACAGTATATGTATTCTATCCGTTACCCTAGCATCCCATAACACAAGCCTTATAGTGCTTACTTTGGGGCTAGGCTAATTGGTGTGAGTGTCGGAAATATTTATTTTATTTTTTATTTTTTATTTTTTATTTTACATTAACTATAGTCTTTAAATATGAATGAATAGAGCGGTCTACGTTATTATAGTATAAAATCTCACTTCCTTTTACGGATTTACCTTCATTCACATTACCACCCCAACACCTATTAATAATGTTCTTGATCACTTCGCCCGATGAATGCTTTCAAACCATCTGCGTTGGACAGGCTCAGATTGTATTTTCGTTGCACTCCCAAATCTAGATTCGGAGATTTTGTGTTAATCCCTTTCCCATGTCAACTTTACAGGGCTAAGATTGAGTGCTTTTAAAAGTAAATGCTTGTACAAGACCTTTTTGATTTGCTCTGAAACTTTAATTTAGCTCAGAATCAATAATATGGATTGAGACCCTTTGTCACTTTTGTATTGACTATTGGCAAAGTTCTTTTTGTTGGCCCTAAAAAGGCAAACGTTAATACTGACGGACCTATTAACAGACGAGCACGAACCAGGTCAAAATAAAAAAAAACAAAATAGTTTATTACGATACCACATTTGTTGTACACCAAACCAGGGTGGGTTCCTTCTATTAAGTGTTTAACACCTGTATCAGAAGGAACCACTCTTCCATAGCATCATTAATATATCTTATGGTAAGGTCTTAATTTTATTTCATAGGATTTTTAAAACATTATAAAAAATTAAATTATAATTTATATAAGCGGGTGAGTGTGTGTCTGTATGTGTGTGTGCATGTACGTGAGTATGTGTGTACAAATGCTCTTTTTATCCGCTAGTAAGTAAGATTAAGAAGGCTCTCAGTTTCATCATAATCCAAGGTCTTGAGCCATGCCATCAGTTTGAGCTTGCACTCCCAGTAAGTTAAAGGATAAATATTTAAGATTTTGTTTATATGGTTATAGATGATAGGAGATGTGAAGGTACTGATTGCGAGCAAAACTTGTGTTAGAGCACTGAACTAATGCTACTATGTCTCTTCTTTTTTCTACAATACTATTATTGTACGACAGTGTTGTGTGCTTCCGTAATACAGCATGTAGAATGTATAGCTTACTGACAGTTAGTAAATCTGACATAGATTAAAGCAGCTCAATATCGAATTCGAATAGTTTGCGAGTCCGAAATGTCATTGTCAAATGTGTACTGATTTTTAGTTCCCGTTACGTACTTTGTGGCACTGCTGTTCATGTTTCCATACAAAATTTGATATTGACATTTCGCTTTCGCAAACTATTCGAATTCGATAATGGTTCGTGCTAGGGGTACAGCTCAAACATTGAATGGATTGCGCTAAAATTTGGCACATATAGCTATTAAGATGTAGGCATGCGCTAAGAAAGGATTCTCAAAAACTTACCCCCTAAAAGGATAAAATGGGGGTTCAAAGCATGTATGGAGCTCCAAGATCGCGAGTTTAATCCTTTAAGTAAATAAACATATACCTGTTTCAGGGTTAAAAAAACAGAATAATATTGTCTATAAAGAAGTTTTGTAGAGTATTTTTTTATTTACTGCGTTTGACATTCATAGATATCCATATTAAAGGCAAAAGTTAGTAATAATATGGCAGCTGAGGTGCTCGAGTACTGTCCATAGTGCCCCAGCAGTGGGTACATTTAAAATGAAGAAAATGGCGAGGTTATTTAATTTTCTGGGCCATAGGCACTCATGAAGCACTAGTATTTTAGTTCTAGAGAAAATTACATACATCATGAGTTAAAGTGTACAAAAATGTAACATCTTTAATTTTATACAATTTGATTTATTTATTTAAGAATTACTCAATTTTTTATTTCATACTTGTTTGGGCTTTTTGAGGCTAAATATGCATATTTTTTTGAATTATAAAGATGAATAAAGCTGAAAGTTTTTTTTAACAAAATTCTCTTATCTTATATCGTCGTGTCGTGTATCACAAAGAGGTATTAATACGCAGCTCATTTAACACGACACATTTTCAGTGAACCTCACAACTCAATATATTACCTACGCTGGTTTGGCTTCACCCTAATTGACTGTGATGTTTGACTCTGAAAAAAAAAACAAATATTATGTAAAGGTCCGTAAAGGTTGTCGGAGAAAAAATACACTGCTTTGAGAATGACAAACAGGGTATTACGAAAGTAACGCCCAATGTTATTGAGCATAAAAAAATATATTCGTGTCATCTACATTTTTTTGTCATCTCCTTTCAGTATGAAATAGCCACTGGCTTGGATGATTAATATCTGGCAGATTAATCAACCATGAATAATTTTTCTCAGTATTTTAATCAGGATTTAATTTTTTTAATTAATCTCGGAGCAAAGAAAAGCGATTTTTTCCGCAACCAAATCCCGTTTTGTTTTGTTAAGGATTTTTTTATTATTTTTAATGTATCAAATCCATTTTAGCTGCGACCAATAAAAGGAAGCGGCAATCTTTATATATATAATTCTTCTGTGAGTGTGTATGTCACTGAACTTCTCTTAAACGACTGGACCGATTTTGATGAAATTTTTTGTGTGTGTTCAAGGGGATCTGAGAATGGTTTAGATTCACAATTTTGTCCGCTGGACAACCCCTATTTTTTTAGGGCGGT